AGCATGGTCAGAGCACTTCTAAACCCACACACAATTCCTGGAGGAAATCCCCCCCCCCAACTTTTAGCACAGTGGTTAGGATGTGGGAGAAACAGGGTCAGTTCTCCCCTTTGCCTGATGTGGCAAAGGAATTTGAACTTGTGTCTCCTTCTCTACTCAGGAGAGTGCCCTAGTCATTGGGCTATGGGATATTCTGATGTCATATTCTCTCAATCCCTCCTTTTGAAGCTGTTTAACTGTGTATAAATAATTCAATATGCACTGGAGCATGGGGACTGGACCTTCCCATGGGAGTGCCTTAGCAACTGGGCTATAGAGGCATTCTCACTCTTTCTCTGGACCAAGGCACCCCACAACAATGACATCACTCTTGTTCATTGATGTATCCAGAAGTGGCTCTTGGGATTTTTCCATGAGAGCTCAGCTCCTACCGTCACCACTTAGGTTTCAATCCCCCATCCCTCCTCTTCATCCACAGTCAACAGTAAAAAGGGTAACTGATACAGTAAAAATTAGCTAAAAATATGAGAATGTAGACTGATAGAGATGCAAAGCAACAGCTCAAGAGTACAAATAGTAATAAGGTAATGAAATGGCAACAGTATAAAAATTCAGCATTAGTGAGGGGAAACAAGGATCGTCCTGATATCAATAGGAACCCCTAGGTTTCTCAGAATTAACAATACTATGCCATGAGTTCAGAATATCTGCAGAAATAACTCCTTTAAGAAGCACACCAGAACAATCATCAACTTAACTCCTGGCCTTATAAAATAGTTTGGCCACATGGACAGGAGTCAGTCTTAAACTTAATGTTATGCCAAGCACTAGGTAGAGAGGGCACCTAGCAGCACTGCCTGGTATTTTATGAGCATTTCCATGAATGTATATTGACAGCAACATTAGGATGTCCCTTCAGTTCCATCTGGGCTTGTACAAGTGCCCCCGGTCAACACTGGGGCCCTTTAAAAAAGACAGTGCAGAAGTATATTAAGTTCTATATAGTAACACACCAAGCACGAGGTTAATAAGGCAACATACAGCATTGCAGAGGAAAATATTGGAATTTCTACTCAGAGGCCATAAAGTATGTGGTTGCACTGACTGTCTCAGTAGCTGGCTAGGTGTGGGGTCATCTCTGGACTCTCACCACAGGATCCAGTCCCTGTAATGTAACAAAGAGACATGGTTTCCACTCCCATGGGGAGATTGATACACAGCAGGGAATTCAATTCAAGAAAAATAACTGCACGTGCAGTCTAAGACATTCTCTCATCACACAAGGATGGCATAGGGCAGCCATTGCTACACTGATCAATCTCCTGGAAGAAATATATTTTTTGAGAGCCGACAGTTGATAAGAATGCACTAGGCTCTTTGTTAATCATAGGTGGATCAGTGAAGATGCCTTTAATTAAGGTTGTATAAGACATTTCATGATATGATCGTGTTTTCATTTGCTTATAACTTTGCCAGATGTAAACCATTCAGGCTGAACTTTTCCATGCTGGTTATCTGCCTAAGAAATATTTTTTTGGGGGGAAGTTCGTTAAAATGGTTCATCAATTTCATAGAATGAGTTTATGGAAAAATATGTTGTTTTGCTAATATTAAAACATTCTTACAACCACTTCATTCAGAAGCTCTAGAGTTCCCATGCTTTGGAACAGGGACTTGATATGTGGAAGGGAGGAGATATTCTGGTGTCAGATGTGCCTTTTGCCATTCATGTGAAAATCTGGCCAAGTTATAAGCCTCTGAAAAATCTTAGTTTGTGCATGCTCAGTAGAATTTGTTAGAGTTTGGCAGCTAAATTCTTCAAAGATTCCATCTGTGCTGAGCATGTTCCAGCCCTCACAACTCCTACATGCTGACTGGATGGTGCATGCACCATCACCACAGAGACTGAGCATACTCCAGCCTGTGGTGGGGGGCAGGAGACAGGGCCAGAAACAGTGGGTGGCAGAAGATGGGAGGAGATAGGGACAGCAACAAGAGAGAAGAGGGGCAGGAGCATAGGCAGTGTGTGAAAATATTATTTGCAATGGCTGAGTAAAATGTAATAGCTGCTGTGCTGTTAAGGATCCAGGGAGGGGGTGTTGGAGAATAAGGTTGCCCGACGCTCACATGCAGCGGTGGCTCCTGCCACAGTGGGCTGGTCTCAGCTCCCCCCTCTGTCCTGTTGGCTCTTGCTGCTCACAGATTCAGAGGAGGTTGCTACAGTGCCACATGATGCATGAGTCCATTCACAGGAGTACACTTCCTCCTGTCCTGGTCCTATCATAGAATATCAGGGTTTGTAAGGGACCTCAGGAGTCTAACCCTCTGCTCAAAGCAGGACCAATCCCCCAGTTTTTCCCCCAGATCCCTAAATGGCCTCCTCAAGGATTGAACTCACAATCCTGGGTTTAGCAGGCTAATGCTCAAACCACTGAGCTATCCCTCTGTCCTGGTGTTGTTGGACATGGAGCTTCACCTGCCAGGCTGAACATGCACATGTAGATGGTCCAGCCACAACTGGAGAAAAGTTGGTGAGCTGGTAGGTAGATTTGGCAGGGGCTGAGCTCCCTCTAGTCCTAACCACCTGCCTGCCTGAGGGCAGGAGCCAGGAATGGGGAGGATAGGAGTGGGGTATGTGGTAAAGCAGCAGCCATGGTGGGAGGAGCAGTGGGCAGGGATTAGGGCAGATGCTGGGCAGTGTCAGGACCCAGAGAGGGGGCAGGGAGGACAGAAGTAGGGGATGGAGAGGGAGAATAATTGGGCAGATGGGGATAAGCAGGTGCAGGGATAGATAGCAGGAGAGGGTGGGAGGGCAGAGACAGGGGAGGAGCTAGGGACAAGAAGATGCTGGGGTGGAGAACAAGGGCAGAAAGCACTAAACCACACTTCCTTCCAGAACCGGTAATTGCACTCATTATTCCTGAGTCTCAACATTCCTTTACTGTTTAGCAAATAGCCTTGCTGGTAAAATGTGTTTCCATCCCCCTTTAGAGGTAGGTCCCACAGAAAATAGCAGCCTACTATTACTACTAGTTACTCCTTTAGCTCAAGTGGTAGAGGATTCTTCTAAAGATCCAACCTCATGGATGACTCATTGGGGGAGGCAATATAGATTTACATGATGGAATTTTTATTTTTTCAATTTTTTTAGTTAAAATGGACAACCTTAATTCTGGCATTTCCTAACTTTTGTCTTTGCTGTTCTATTAACACAGGTTTTTCTTTTTTTATTTTAATATAATGAAAATTAGTCTTTTGAGAGATGCCATTTTACAAGGTGAGAAGACCTACTGCTTACTGGATGACTGCTTACTGGATCTTAATCTTTTTATGTTAGCAATCTCCAATTAAAATTAAAATTTTCCTTTTACATTTACTATACAAGTAAGAGTAAATAATACATTGATTATAACAATGATAAGTCAGTATAATGTATTTGTGTGTGTTTCAAGAGGTTGACAGAGAATAGTTGACTTTGAAGATAAAGGCATGGAGAAAAGGGAGCAAGATTTTCTTTGCTTTGGATTGTAATACATTTTTTGCCTCCTCATGGGGCCTCTGATTGCCTGTTGCAACTCCCCTAGTGGGTTGTGACCTACCAGTTGAGAACACTGGCTTAGTTTACCTGATGGGCAGGCTTTGAAAGGGATTCTTGTGACAAGCAGAGGAAGCATGATCATGACATACTGTTTGCAGAAAAGGGGATTTTATCAATTAGACAGAATAGAAAGATCAATAAACAAGATTTCCATGGGAATTGATTTGCAGAAGATCAAATACAACATTTTAAAGTGCACCCACTGTACCCTAGTGGAGTCGTGTCACTTCTGGATTCCTGGGAACAGCCAGCTCACATATAAACCATCATTAAATTATGAGTGTTAATGGGACTTGCAAGTATGCATCCAGGGGGAAATATACTGGTACTCTCTGATCATTTATCTCATGATGGCAATGTCTAAACACACTGTATGTTTGACTACCGACAGTTCATTTTCATCTGGGATGTGCAAAACTGTATTTACAATACACCAATTTTAATTACAGATGGCACAGTGATTTTTAAAAAAAGGATACTCCATAATTGTCTGTCTCTCTCTGACCAACAGGATTTCCATTGGTTATCTCAGGATTGCTCTCTTAAGGAAGGAAATGTATAAGAAATATTGAAGAAGAGAATTAATTACTGAAAATGCATCAAAACTACCATATATTTCCATGACGGAAGCCCTCCCTGGAGGCATAAGTATCTGACAGAAAAATAAGCCTCTCATTAGTAAAGAATTACATTTATGCATAACAATATTCATTTTAATACAGTCAGAAAAGTATTGTTTTTCACACAACAAAAACTATGCTCAAACCCTAAAGTTATGAGAGGAACCCCACAAGAGGCAGTAAATTCACAGAACAGTATTAACGGCATGCTTCCAGGAGATGCTGAACACCATACACCCCTGAAGTCACTCAGCACCTCTGAGGATGATGTCCAATAGGTTAAAGTTAAAGTGATGCCTCATTGTGTCAAGGTAACAAACAGATGTTTAGGGCAGGATTCTTTGAAGTGCTAAATGCCTGCAGCTCCCAGTGAAACCAGTCTAGTATATTTGCTTTTGTAAGTTATTTCTCACCAGCCTGAGGCCCAGTCCTGCATTTCCTGTGCACCGGGAATTCCTTTTGACTTCACTGAGCAATTTGGGTCCACCGGGAATGTGGAATCAGCCTCACAATTTTTTTCCCCTGTAGCTTTAATTCGTATGACATTTCCTTGTATGTTTGTAGTTGTTTAGTTTAGATTGATGCAATTAGTGTAATTAAATGTAATTATGAATTTGGTGGAAATCCATGTAATGACATATTTACAATGTGTAATTCGATAATTACAATGTGTAATTAGCAATTACAAAATGTAATGCCATTATAAAAATCCTAATTAAACTTTGGGGAAAAAATAGTCTTGGAAAAAATCAATGGAACTTAAGGCACTGCTCTCAGTTTTGCACCTGCAGTTTCTTCAGCTGAGTTATTTTCCATTCACAGTGATGTAAGTGTGAGGATGATCAAGCCCCACAGGCTAGTAGGCCTGTAAATGTAACCTGTTCAGTCCAAAAAAGTGGACATGGGGTCCTGGCCAGGAGATCAGTGACTGCTGCTTGGGATTCTCAAGGGCTCTATGTACACTAGTCTGTTTCTGACCTAACTCACACCAATGTAAATCAGGACTACATCTGCTGTTGTAGTCCAGCAATGGAATGGAAGGAATGAGGCTCCACATGGGGTCCTGGCCAGGAGATCAGTGACTGCTGCTTGGGATTCTCAAGGGCTCTCTGTACACTAGTCTGTTTCTGACCTAACTCACACCAATGTAAATCAGGACTACATCTACTGATGTCAGTGGAGTACTACACCACCAGAGAAAAACTTGTGTGAATGTGTTCAGAATCAGTCACAGAGTCTTGAACCATGTCTGAAAACTAAGGGGAAGATTCTCAACTGGTCTAAATTGATGTAGGCATGTATGTATGTATGTATGCCAACTGACACCAGCTGAGCCCTGGTCTACTCTAGGACTTTAGGTCGAATTTAGCAGCATTAAATCGATGTAAACCTGCACCCGTCCACACGATGAAGCCCTTTATTTTGACTTAAAGGGCTCTTAAAATCGATTTCCTTACTCCACCCCTGACAAGTGGATTAGCGCTTAAATCGGCCTTGCTGGCTCGAATTTGGGGTACTGTGGACACAATTCGACGGTATTGGCCTCTGGGAGCTATCCCAGAGTGCTCCATTGTGACCGCTTTGGACAGCACTCTCAACTCAGATGCACTGGCCAGGTAGACAGGAAAAGAACCGTGAACTTTTGAATCTCATTTCCTGTTTGGCCAGCGTGGCAAGCTGCAGGTGACCATGCAGAGCTCATCAGCAGAGGTGACCATGATGGAGTCCCAGAATCGCAAAAGAGCTCCAGCATGGACCGAACGGGAGGTAGGGGATCTGATCGCTGTTTGGAGAGAGGAATCCGTGCTATCAGAACTCTGTTCCAGTTTTCTAAATGCCAAAACCTTTGTCAAAATCTCCAAGGGCATGAAGGACAGAGGCCGTAACAGGGACCCGAAGCAGTGCCGCGTGAAACTGAAGGAGCTGAGGCAAGCCTACCAGAAAACCACAGAGGCGAACGGCCGCTCCGGGTCAGAGCCCCAAACATGCCGCTTCTATGATGAGCTGCATGCCATTTTAGGGGGTTCAGCCACCACTACCCCAGCCATGTTGTTTGACTCCTTCAATGGAGATGGGGGCAATACGGAAGCAGGTTTTGGGGATGAAGAAGATGATGATGAGGTTGTAGATAGCTCACAGCAAGCAAGCGGAGAAACTGGTTTTCCCGACAGCCAGGAACTGTTTCTCACCCTGGACCTGGAGCCAGTACCCCCCGAACCCACCCAAGGCTGCCTCCTGGGCCCAGCAGGCGGAGAAGGGACCTCCGGTGAGTGTACCTTTTAAAATACTATACATGGTTTAAAAGCAAGCATGTGAAAGGATTACTTTGCCCTGGCATTCGCGGCTCTCCTGGATGTACTCCCAAAGCCTTTGCAAAAGGTTTCTGGGGAGGGTAGCCTTATTGCGTCCTTCATGGTAGGACACTTTACCACTCCAGGCCAGTAACACGTACTCGGGAATCATTGTACAACAAAGCATTGCAGTGTATGTTTGCTGGCATTCAAACAACATCCATTCTTTATCTCTCTGTGTTATCCCCAGGAGAGTGAGATATAATTCATGGTCACCTGGTTGAAATAGAGTGCTTTTCTTCAGGGGACACTCAGAGGAGCCCATTCCTGCTGGGCTGTTTGCCTGTGGCTAAACAGAAATGTTCCCCGCTGTTAGCCACAGGGAGGGGGGAAGGTTGAGGGGGGTAGCCACGCGGTGGGGGAGGCAAAATACGACCTTGTAACGAAAGCACATGTGCTATGTATGTAATGTTAACAGCAAGGATTACCCTGAAAGAGTGTAGCCACTGTTTTATAAAATGTGTCTTTTTAAATACCGCTGTCCCTTTTTTTTCCTCCACCAGCTGCATGTGTTTCAATGATCACAGGATCTTCTCCTTCCCAGAGGCTAGTGAAGCTTAGAAAGAAAAAAAAATGCACTCGAGATGAAACGTTCTCCGAGCTCATGCTGTCCTCCCACACTGACAGAGCACAGACGAACGCATGGAGGCAAATAATGTCAGAGTGCAGGAAAGCACAAAATGACCGGGAGGAGAGGTGGCGGGCTGAATAGAGTAAGTGGCGGGCTGAAGAGAGTAAGGGGCGGGCTGAAGACAGGGCTGAAGCTCAAATGTGGTGGCAGCATGATGAGAGGAGGCAGGATTCAATGCTGAGGCTGCTGGAGGACCAAACCAGTATGCTCCAGTGTATGGTTGAGCTGCAGCAAAGGCATCTGGAGCACAGACTGCCACTACAGCCCCTGTGTAACCAACCGCCCTCCTCCCCAAGTTCCATAGCCTCCACACCCAGATGCCCAAGAACGCGGTGGGGGGGCCACCGGCCAACCAGCCACTCTGCCATAGAGGATTGCCCCCAAAAAAGAAGGCTGGCATTCAATAAATTTTAAAGTTGTAAACTTTTAAAGTGCTGTGTGGCATTTTCCTTCCCTCCTCCACCACCCCTCCTGGGCTACCTTAGTAGTCATCCCCCTATTTGTGTGATGAATGAATAAAGAATGCATGAATGTGAAGCAACAATGACTTTATTGCCTCTGCAAGTGGTGATCGAAGGGAGGTGGGGAGGGTGGTTAGCTTACAGGGAAGTAGAGTGAACCAAGGGGCGGGGGGTTTCATCAAGGAGAAACAAACAGAACTTTGACACCGTAGCCTGGCCAGTCATGAAACTGGTTTTCAAAGCTTCTCTGATGCATACCGCGCCCTCCTGTGCTCTTCTAACCGCCCTGGTGTCTGGCTGCGCGTAATCAGCAGCCAGGCGATTTGCCTCAACCTCCCACCGCGCCATAAATGTCTCCCCCTTACTCTCACAGATATTGTGGAGCACACAGCAAGCAGTAATAACAGTGGGAATATTGGTTTCGCTGAGGTCTACGCGAGTCAGTAAACTGCGCCAGCACGCCTTTAAACGTCCAAATGCACATTCTACCACCATTCTGCACTTGCTCAGCCTGTAGTTGAACAGCTCCTGACTACTGTCCAGGCTGCCTGTGTACGGCTTCATGAGCCATGGCATTAAGGGGTAGGCTGGGTCCCCAAGGATACATATAGGCATTTCAACATCCCCAACAGTTATTTTCTGGTCTGGGAATAAAGTCCCTTCCTGCAGCTTTTGAAACAGACCAGAGTTCCTGAAGATGCGAGCGTCATGCACCTTTCCCGGCCATCCCACGTTGATGTTGGTGAAACGTCCCTTGTGATCCACCAGAGCTTGCAGCACTATTGAAAAGTACCCCTTGCGGTTTATGTACTCGGTGGCTTGGTGCTCCAGTGCCAAGATAGGGATATGGGTTCCGTCTATAGCCCCACCACAGTTAGGGAATCCCATTGCAGCAAAGCCATCCACTATGACCTGCAGATTTCCCAGGGTCACTACCCTTGATATCAGCAGATCTTTGATTGCGTGGGCTACTTGCATCACAGCAGCCCCAACAGTAGATTTGCCCACTCCAAATTGATTCCCAACTGACTGGTAGCTGTCTGGCGTTGCATACTTCCACAGGGCTATCACCACTCGCTTCTCAACTGTGAGGGCTTCTCTCATCTTGGTATTCATGCACCTCAGGGCAGGGGAAAGCAAGTCACAAAGTTCCATGAAAGTGCCCTTACGCATGCGAAAGTTTCGCAGCCACTGGGAATTGTCCTAGACCTGCAACATTATGCGGTCCCACCAGTCTGTGCTTGTTTCCCAAGCCCAGAATCGGAGTTCCACAGCATGAACCTGCCCCATTAGCACCATGATGCATGCATTGGCAGGGCCCATGCTTTCAGAGAAATCTGTGTCCATGTCCTGATCACTCATGTGACCGCGCTGACGTCGCCTCCTCACCCGGGATCGCTTTGCCAGGTTCTGGTGCTGCATATACTGCTGGATAATGCGTGTGGTGTTTAATGTGCTCCTAATTACCAAAGTGAGCTGAGCGGCCTCCATGCTTGCCTTGGTATGACGTCCTCACAGAAAAAAGGCGCGGAACGATTGTCTGCCGTTGCTCTGACGGAGGGAGGGGCGACTGACGACACGGCTTACAGGGTTGGCTTCAGGGAGCTAAAATCAACAAAGGGGGTGGCTTTACATCAAGGAGTATTTCAGGCAGGACTTCACGGAGGGTTCCAATAAGAAATGGTGCACCTAAGTTATTGTTCTTATTGGAACAAGGAGATTAGCCTGGCCTCTGATTGATACATGGCTAGATTTACCTTGCTGCACCTTCTCTGTGAGTGACTGCAGTGTGACCTAGAGGAATGAGTCCCCTAGACAGGGGAGGAGGCAAATGAGTACAAAACAAATCTGGTCTATTTCTTGTTTTGATCCACTCCATCTATCTTTTACATCTTCGGCTGGCAGCAGACGGTGCAGAAGGACTGCATGCCATCCACATCTCATGGCTGCTCAGCAGAAGATGGTGTAGTAGGACTGCTAGCCATCCTCATCTCTTGCCTGCCCGGCAGAAGATGATGCAATAGGACTGCTAGCAATCCGTATCGCCTGCCTGCTCACCATAGGACAGTTCAATAGGACTGACTGCAGGACTAAAGAGAATGACCTGGTCAAGTCACTCCAAATTTAGTCCCTGCGCCCATGTCTTCCCAGGCGCTCCCAGCTGACGTGGCCAGGAGCACCTCGGACATGATGAGGACGGCTACCAGTCGTACTGTACCATCTGCTGCCAGAAGGCAATGGGTTGCTGCTACTGTGTAGCAATGCCGTACCTCATCTGCCAGCACCCAGGAGACATACGGTGACGGTTACCTGAGCGGGCTCCATGCTTGCCGTGGTATGGCATCTGCACAGGTAACTCAGGAAAAGAGGCGCGAAACGATTGTCTGCCCTTGCTTTCACGGAGGGAGGGAGGGAAGGGGGGCCTGACGATATGTACCCAGAACCACCCGTGACAATGTTTTAGCCCCATCAGGCATTGGGATCTCAACCCAGAATTCCAATGGGCAGCGGAGACTGTGGGAACTGTGGGATAGCTATCCACAGTGCAACGCTCTGGAAGTCGACTCTAGCCTCGGTACTGTGGAAGCACTCCGCTGAGTTAATGCACTTAATGCACTTAGAGCATTTTCTGTGGGGACACACACACTCAAATATATAAAACCGATTTCTAAAAAACCAACTTCTATAAATTCGACCTTATTCCGTAGTGTAGACATACCCTGAGATTCTGGCTCCAAAGGAGAATGGTTTTAAACTCAATGGTTTTAAACTCAATGGTTTTAAACTAATGCTGGAAGCTAAGCTGGCTTCCAGCATAGTTTGGCTTGCCAAAGTAAATAAGGTCAAACTATTTTCAGATTGGTATCAAAGATCATCTTTGCAGACAGCAGGTTCAAAGATGATTTTTCAAAACCATTTAAAAACAGTTTGGTCTTGTTGATATTGGCCCAAACAAACCAGTGTTTTAAACACAAATCAGATTTTTCAAACATGGTTGGAAAACCAAGTGTAGACAGGGTCATACATGGAGTGTAAAAACCAGTGAAGACTGTGGGGGGGATCTGACTTTACTGGGTGGTTATAGTAACTCCTTAGGAAAAGTGAGTAAACTTGCCATTCATAAACCTCCAACAATCCAGTGGGCAAATTCCATTAATGTTTGTGATAGCTAAAGGAAAGCTCCATGGCCTGATGCCTTAGGGAGAGAAGAGAGCTCACTACTGTCACCTATTGGTGAAATGGGAGAGGAGTGGCCCAGAGCTGCTTAATTGCAGATGGTCAGGGGCTTCATTGGTGAGGGAGCTATCTGCTGGCGAGCAAAAAGTGAGTTGATTGAATGGGTCAGACCTAATTTGCATTTCCATTTTGTGATGGTTTGGGGCATTTTGGTTAAAATTTAGTTAAATTTTGAGTTGGGGGCAGTAAAATGCAGTTGGCCTTGTTGGGAAATACAAGGATAAGACATTGACACTGAATTTATGTGGGGTCACCCTGACCAATACTGCTGTCAGGCGCAGTTGAGTAAGGCAGCATGGACAGACCTACAAGTGGGGGGAGAGGGAGAGAGAAGATGACAATGATGACAATGAAGGACAAGCTCCTGCCTGCTGCTGGGACTGCCTGTTGGGTGGTGAAGTCTCTATCAAGGGGCTAGATGTCACGGATCACTCCCTAAGAGCTGAGCTTAGGGTGCTTAACAGTGGACAGTGTAGAGCAAGGACAGCTCAAGGCAGTAGTGGCAGTTCAGTGGCAACAGATGCAGTGGTGGCAGGCGCTCCAAGGTGGTAGGCAGTGCAGAGTGGTGGCGGCTGCAGCAGCTTTTCCAAGGCCATTGAAGGCACAGGGTGGTGGTGGCACCTTTGAAGGGATAGACAGTGCAGAGCAGTGGCAATCCTAGGCAGCTTGGACTGAAAATGCAGCGGGAGCAGCAGCTTACCCAAGGGACTTGTGTGGGCCTCTCTAAATCACACCAGCTGGGTTAGGTAGCATAGCCCCTGGAGCAGCCCAAGCAGCACCAGCCAGCTAGAATCATAGAATCATAGAATATCAGGGTTGGAAGGGACCTCAGGAGGTCATCTAGTCCAACCCCCTGCTCAAAGCAGGACCAATCCCCAATTAAATCATCCCAGCCAGGGCTTTGTCAAGCCTGACCTTAAAAACTTCTAAGGAAGGAGATTCTACCACCTCCCTAGGTAACGCATTCCAGTGTTTCACCACCCTCCTAGTGAAAAAGTTTTCCCTAATATCCAACCTAAACCTCCCCCACTGCAACTTGAGACCATTACTTCTTGTCCTGTCCTCTTCTACCACTGAGAATAGTCTAGAACCATCTTCTCTGGAACCACCTTTCAGGTAGTTGAAAGCAGCTATCAAATCCCCCCTCATTCTTCTCTTCTGCAGACTAAACAATCCCAGTTCCTTCAGCCTCTCCTCATAAGTCAATTAGAAATCCTTCAATTTCTTCTAAATAGGCCAGCTAGCTGTGAGTGTGAAGCTGGGAAGTGGTCAGAACACACTGGCCACTCTCAATGGCCAAAGGAGGACTGAAGTTGGGACTACTGTTAAGACACCCTAGTGGTTGGGAGTCTTACATCGCTGAGTTTGTTAATTGCTGGTTTTCCCAAATTCATTCTGCTGGCTTCCTCTGCACCCCTCTTTCCCCCAGTAGAGTTCATTGTTGTAACCCCTGACTGAATGCTTGCGAGGGGGAAGAATTATGCATTGGAGCATGCAGGGTGGTATATATACTTTCCCAGGTTTCTGCTTGGGGCTCAAGCCAGTGTTAGTTATCTCTTTTTGAAAACATCTAGAAAATTGAACCGGGCCCTTTTTTTGCTGCCATCAACACTTGGCAGAAGGGTTACGTAAAAGTGAAAATATTCTGTGCACAGATGGAAGAATAAAGTGCATAATTTTGCTATAAATTAAATGTGGATGTCACCAAAAAAAAAAAAAAGGACAGGTTTTCACAAACTGACATGCAGAGCTGCTCCTTTAAAAAGCAGTCTGCTTTCTCTGGCTGTGAAGCAAGTCAAATCACAGTGAAGCAAGTCAAAGGGAG